TGTGAACATTTTGCTTCAATCTGTGCTTCAATGTGTGCATGTGTGCTCATGAGCATAAATTTATGAGTGAGTCAGATCACAGGGTGGAATGCATTTCTGTCATAAATAATAATGTTTTAGATACAGTTTAGCTCTGGAATCATTGCAGTTACTTACTTCCGATGCCAGATTTTTCTAATAAGGACCTATCCGTTATTTAAATTCTTCTGCAATGATGTGCTTAAGATATATCTTCCTCTCAACACTGGGACACAATAAGAATATCATGCCTGCTATAGGCATGTTACTTTGACAAATGCAGTGTTCTTTTAGTGAATAATATAGAACTATAATTTGAGAAACTATGTCAAAAACCTTATTTTTGAAAGCCATAAAGAAGTTCCAAATAATATGATGCTGTTACAATAAAATTTTTAATTTTAAGATTTAACATACACCCTTCTGCTTTATATGAGGAGCAAACAAACAAGCACATGTGTAATCTTGCTCATCTGAAACTTCTGTAAATGCTGGAGAGAAGAGACAGTGAGCTTCCGTCATACATATCTGTGAGATGTGAAGCCACCCTAGCAATGAAGCCCCTTATCTTTACGAAAATGAAGAACAACCAAGGAGAGAAAACATTCTGCTCTTCAAGTAACAAGAACCAAAAGGTAAAACTGGTTCCTAGGAGGCATGTTTTATATAAATACACTACACAAAGGGAAACATGGCATTAAGAACTCACCACCCTGAGTTACAGATGCTTCATGTTTACATAATAACGACCCATGGATAACTAAAGTGCTCTGCCCTTTTTCTTACTCCCTAGACCTTTAAGATCATTTCCATTATGCTCTTTGTTCTCTCCATCATCACTGAAAACTCACAATGTGTAAGCATGTAATTATATTTGCCCTAATGCTGTTACTAAAAAGGTGTATAAACATATTCATTCAGAATTCCCTAATATGTATATATTTGCGTATCAAGGAAAAGTTGGAGAGAAATGGGATGAGGAACGACCTGATCTCTTTTGAACGCTACTGTTAAACCCATAATGTATAGGTTAAAATGAGAAGAGGATGCTACAGGTTAGTGTGTGATCAGAAGTTCAGAGCAAAGTGTCCCCAAGGTGTTAGCAAGCCCTCAAGATATCTTTAGTGAGATGGCATTTTTCCAATAAGCAGGAAATGTTAATTTGTGCTTCTGATTATATTTACCAATGTTTTTTCAATATAGAGGCAATGAAAACATCTTCATGGAGGAAGGAGAGGGACAAGAGAGGATCATAGGGGGTAAATATGATTGAAGTACATAGTATGCAAGTGTGAAAATGTCATCATGAAATCCATTATTTTGTACAATTAATTTTTTAAAACTCTACATGTCTTTATAAAGAATTTTAGACAATAGAAATGCTGGCCCTAATACCTTCATGTGACCAGTCTTTCTACCACTTCACCAAAGTCAGAAGTTCAGGATTGATACAAGCCTATGCTAGGCCAATTCACACAGCTACATTTTTGGTAACAGTACTGACATGGAGGAAGGGTTGGCTTCACAGTTTTAGAGTTACACTTAGTTTAGTGCTTTTCTGCTACCATATTGAAATTCTTAATTTTTGAACAAGGGTCCCATATTTTCATTGTGTACTCAGCACATAAATTATGTAGCCAATCCTAGATCAAGGTAGCAGAAAGTTAAGTGAGATAGCTCTACAAAATTCTCTGCCTGCTAAAAATATGGTTTTCTAGACTTTTGTCCATTCAAATTATCTTGTCAATATAGTCTGAACTATAGCATTGCCCGAATTCTACCTGGTTACATAATTTCAGTTTTCCTAATGTTGGTAATTCCCTCAGAATCATTCGGGTGAACTAAAATTCCCTTTTGGGTATTAGCAAAGTAAGAGAGACCACCCCTTTATCAGCACTCTTCCATAACCTTTTATGAACTGAAAGCTCTAATACAGGTATCAGTACATGTCTGTGAGACACGTAGACTACATCAAGAACCCTATCAGAAGCTAAGCCAGTCCTAAGATGTTCTAGAACCAAATAGATGTTGTTCCTGCTACAGCAAGAGCTGGGGAATGCTCTTAGCAATTTCACCAGTACTCAAGGTATCTAGAACGGATGCTGTAGGCCCAAAGGCTACAGCGGAGGAGTTCTTTGGCAGCCTCCATGAGTTATATGGGACTGTGAAGGAGCCAAGAGAACACTGGGAGCTTTCTAGGTATTCATCCTCCCATTTTTTTCTTGAATTGCTGAGGTACAAAAGGAAACAAACATTCTCCAATAATCTGAAGATGATCCTCTAGTGGTAAGGGAAATAAAGGAGTAATATAATAGGAGAAATGAGAAAGTAGGGCAACAAAGACAAGAGATAACTCTTTAAAGGTTACTGACATCGTGAAATGCTATGGGGTGATGGGAAGTTTGAAGAAAAAGAAAATATCTTTTTTTTTTTCCCCAGGAGACATCGTTTATTTTTGGTAAGTGCCAGCCATCACACAGTGACTCCACAGCACGGAAGTCTTAGGAACACAAGTGTACGGGTCTTAGGTCCTATGACAACTTAGTTCTAGCTCATAAAGGTTACAAGACCTTAAGGTATTCAGGTCTGTATGTCCCAGGTTACAACATGTCACCTGCTGTAGACCACATACACAGCAAAATCTGGGAGTCCAGACTCTTAACTCACTGAACTTGTCTCCAGGGAGGGTTTGATTCTCCCTATAAAGAGTGACCTAAAAAAAGCCGTTAAGAACCCACACCAAGTCACACCTGTGAACCTGAAGGCCTGAGGGCCTCAGTGTCTCCAGTAAAGCAAGGAGGCAAGGAAGCCCAAGTGCTGCCGGTCACACCCATATGGGGGCTCTCCAGCTTGAACCCCAGCAGTGATGAGAGGGAGGGAGGTGGGAGCTGGGGGGCGTGGGTGGCCAATGTCCACTGTGACCTTGAGTCTTTTGATTTGGTAATTTGTTCTGATGTGATTGGCACAGTCATTCCACTGCACATACTTGCTGTAAATTTATGTACAGAATTAAATATCCCATTTATTCATTTAGAAACCGTAGAAACCCAAGCTGGTCATTCCCCCTCACCAGCAGGTCTTGTGTGGAAAAGGAAAACACATCAATATACAGACTTCAGCAACAGCAGAAACTTCATGAAACCCAACCAGAGGCCCGGTGCCGCTTGGAGCTGAATGACAGGGTCACCATCGTCACAACTACCGTTAATACCTTCTCAGTGTGACTCTCCAGTTCTTGTCACTCAACAGACACCATGCCTCCAGGGAAGGCCAGCCAGGATCCCTGTACACAGCGATCTTCTCAAAACCTGGGCCAAAGTATTTATAAAGCAAGCAAATGAAACGGACAAACAGATCCTCCCGAGGCTGGAGGGCGTCAGCTCTCAGACAAGCAGGAAAAGAAGCTGACAAACTCAGCCTCCCAAAACACAAAATCCCAATTACCAAAACGCACAGAGCGCCCGGCCACACCAGGAGTCAGCGCAAGCTGCAGTCACTTCCTCTCCGAACGGGGGAATGTCGTGCTCGCCAGGAGACGAGGGGCAGATGGCTGCTCCATCTGATTCACTGTCCCCAGTTCAGCCAGAAGCTGGGAACAGAAAGAAGGGCAAGTACCCCAAAGACCCCACAAGTCAAAGCCAGTGGTCCCTCCAAGAGGGCATGGTCCCTTCATGGTGCCAGGGATGAGCCGCCACTCAGACCTCAGCACCCCAGGTGCTGCAGGTTTCCTGCTGTGATTCTCCCAAGATGCAAACTTGTCTTTTTCTTTGTAGAGACAGGGTCCTGCTGTGTGGCCCACGCTGGCCTGGAACTCCTGGGCGCAACGATCCTCCTGGCTCGGCCTCCAAAGCAGCTGGGATTATAGACGTGTACCAGTGTGCTTGGTTCCCAAAGTTCCTCTTGACCTAATTCCAGCTTGAGACTCATGCCTTCTCCATTACCCAGGATGTGATCAGATCCCAAAGTGAATGCAGCACGGAAACGGATGCAAAGCACTGTGGCCTGGTCAATTATACAGGACACTGTGGTGCTTGGCGTCCACTCCATCTTCCGCGACTGTGGTCACCAAGGACAGGCTTCGCGACACTTCATCGTGCTCCGCTTATTGCCAAAATACAGCAGGCAGCCACCTCCAGTAGAACTTTTTCCTTTTTTAAACACATAGAAACAAAATGGTTTGCAGTCCATAAGCCAGTCCTGCTGTGTCCCTCCATGAGGACCAAGGCATTAAAAACACACACAACTACAAAATGTCCCCTAGAAAAACACAAGACCCTCATCAAATCAGTGTGTCCCCAACACAGCCTTTCACACCACTCAGGCACGACCGTGACTACCGAGACCCCGCACCCAAAAGGGGACGCGGGGACTATGGCTGGGGGAGCAGCGCAGAGGACAGAGACAGTAATTTCCCTTCCCACCGGACACTGGTGGATGCCACGGGCAGAGGCTCTGGACGACAAGGCTAACTGCAGAACTTCCACTTGGCCACAACTGCCAGGAGTTAGCAGTGGTCCTGGGTCCCCCAGGCCCCGCCCGTGTGACACCGTGTCAGCCCCATGCAAGTCTGAGCAGTGGAATTCAAGTAGCTAGTCTCATCCCGTCCTGACGTCCCCTTATGTCACCTCTTACCAGCTCCCAGATCTGTAGCCACAGTGATTCCACTTTTCCTGGCGGGTCCTCCGTGTCACCCAGAAAACCAAACAAGAACTCTGACACACAAATGTAAAGCCTGGCCCAGAGCTCCCCAGGATCCAGGCTCTGTGACGACAGACTTCAGGAGGGAGAGCAGGCGACATGGTCTCCTCAGCTGTCCCTCTGCCCAGAGCCTGTGGCATCCAAGGTGCTGCAGTCACATCCTGCTGCCCACGGGGGCCGGAATCCCCAGGGCCCTGCGATGGCCACTCACGCCCCGTCCTTGCTGGTGGCCGGGTGTCTGTGATCCTGCCGGGTGTGGGAAAGCAGCATAGCGCCTGTGGCCTCTACACGTCGAAGCTGTTCAGGGTGTATGAGTTCGGGTGGCTCTGGCGGCTGTACTGAAAGTGATCCGTCAGGACGCTGCTGCGGCCATACTAATAGTCACCATGCTGGGGGAAGAGGATGCGGTTGTGGGGCTTCTGCAGCGGCTCCGCAGATGCTCCTTGCTGCCCAGGTGCCGTGGAGACAGGGAGGAGGTGTCTCCGGGCTTGGTGGTTTGCATCATATTTGGTCTTGTTGTAGAGGAAGTCGCCCAAGATGGCCGTCATCATGCCCAGGACGTTGGTGCTGGTGACCGGGTTGCGCAGCATGATGAGGGACACCGTGATGACCATGATTCTCTTGGTGGCATTGGCGACAGAGTAGCTCAGGGAGCTGATGAGGTTGAGGATGCTGAAGGCGATGACATTCTGGGCGAAGTTACAGAAGCCGCTGACAGCCAGAAGCAGGAGCGTCCAGGGCCACTGGGACACGTACGTCAAGTCGCTGCTGACCAGGAAAGCCGAGAGGTCCACCAGAACCCACGTGGGGATCATGAAGAAGACGGCGTGAAAGCCCAGAATGTTCAGCAGCCGCAGGTGGTGGATCCGAGAGTCTCCCAACACCTTCTTGGAGAAGATGTTCCGCAGTGAGAAGCAGAGCGTGGCCACGAGGGCGCTGATGAGTCCCCACATGTCGAACGACAGCTCGGTGACGGCAGCCAGTAGGACGCCACTGATGATGGGGATGAGGGACAGGTACACCTTGGTGCTCTGCTTCTCCTTCATGATGATCCGGGACAGCAGGACCACCCAGATGGGCATGGTGGCCTTGACGGTGTGCGCGTAGGACACTGGCACCTTCCAGATGCTGACGTGCGCCGACAGGGACGCGAAGTACTTGCCCAAGGCGAGCGGCAGCAGGTAGCGCGGGTAAAAGCGCGGCGGCAGCAGCGGGCAGGACGACGGATGCGGGCCGGGCCCAGGGCCCGACACAGGCGGCGCGGGGGCACACGCCAGGCCAGGCGCGCAGCAGCGGAGGGAGCCCGGCACACAGCGCCAGGATGTGGCACAGCGACACGGTCACGGGGATCGGGAAGGCGCTCAGGATCACCTTATTGACCACGTTGCGCCCGCGCTCAGCGCGTACCACAGCAGGCACAGCGCTGCCACCCGCGCGCCCTCGCGCGCCCCGCCGCCACCCCCTGCCGTGCCCGGGCCCCCCGCGCCTGCACCGGACACCACGGCCGCCGCCGCCGCCATCCTGCCCAAGCGGCCACCCCTTCCCGCCCGTCCGACGGCCCGACGCCAGGCCAAGAAAATATCATTTAACAAACTGACCTACTTTTAGATGGAAAATTCTAGAACAGCAGAGATTAATTGCAGGACCTAAGAAGGGGTTGGGTAGTGAAAAAAAGGAGAGAGCTGTTAGACTACTTGTTCTAATTATTTTGGTGAAGACTAAGAAAAAAATAAAGTGGTTAGTCTACTGAGTACTCTGGCAGGGGAAGGAATGTGGAGTGGAAAAGAAGTTTTCCTGGGCTGCATGTAACTGTGCACAACCAGGCATTTGATTCTTTTCTAAATATATATATATATTTTTTAGTTTTGCTGTTACTGTTATTGTAATTATTGTTGTTTTGAGACAGGGTCTTTTTATGTAACCCAGGCTAACCTCAAATTCTCAATCCTCTTGCCTATGCCTCCTGAATGCTGGAATTATAGGCATGCACCATCACACCCAGACTAAATAGTTTAAATATATAAATTGCCATCTAATGTTCATTCTTAATAATAACCCTCTGGAAAAATATTTCATAGATAGATGAAAACTACTGAGACTCTCTTTTTTAAAATATTACCAGAAAATAGCATGAAATATTCATTTTTAGTTTCATAAAGGAGAAAACATATATGTGAGATAAAAATAAAAAGAAGCAAATGTAAGAGATCCTCGAGAGGGAAGAAATGCCTCAAAAGTCAGAAGAACATATCAGGCGTGATACCAACCTAAGAGCTGAACAAGAAAACTCCATTAGTGTGCTTTTCTTTCCTCTGAGCTGTGATGCTCTATCCCATGAGAATGCTAAGGGAATTTTTACAGTTTAAGGGTCTACCATTTACTGTAGTTATTTTCCACCACGGCAGAAATTTTTTCAAAAACGGCTCCTCAGCTGCCCATCTTGGCAGTGTTCAAGTAAATCCATGTATCTTACTCAGGTCTAAAGGCAAAGTCTCTGAGGCAACTTCACAGTGCCATATGGTACCTCTCCTACTGTAAGTTTATCTTCATTTCCGTCAGTGGGTTCAGAGGGCTGGGCTCGTACAAGTGACCTGCAGGTACATGAGTCATAGCATGTCCGAGTCAAATTCCCTTTTGTTTTCTAGCTGTCTGGATCAACCTTTTTGCTACAGTCTTGAAAAAATTGTAGCAACTAGAAACTGTGCACAATGATGTGGACATGCCATGGCCTTTCTTAGAAAATTCCCTTCCATAGCTACTAAATATTACTGAAAAAATGTATCATTTCAATGACTTGCATAATGAGTGCTAACTAAGTAATTGTTAAAATAAAATTATAGGGACCCCTCCCAGCTCTGGGAGCTGTACTTTTTGCTACTTTTCTATCTCAATAAATCTTAATAAGTACTCCTACAAAAAATAAATAAAGTAAAATTGTAGTGTCAAAGACCGAATATACAGAGAATGGGTCTTTTTCTTCTATGAGCATGTCTTTCTAACCCAAAAGGCTTATCACTGTTATTTGGATTCTTATCTGGCTTCAAAATTCAGATAGAGATCTGCAAGTTATAACTACAAAAAAAATGCCAAAAATCTTAAGTTTTTGGCAAGATGTTACATGAGCATCATTTGCTTAGCTTGGTAGACAAACATTCATATATGTTTACTAGAAGCTAACAAAGTTGTTAGGAGAGTTAGCTCCCAATTCAGACTGTCTGGATTTATATCATACTCCACCATCTACTATGTGACCTTGGGCAAGCTTGTTAACATCTAATAGCTTCTGTTCCCTCATCTCTATTCAGGCATAACACCTGCCATGTTGCAAAAATGAGGTAGTCTTAGAAAAGTACCTAGCATGTAGTAAAGTTCAAAAAATGTTATTTATTATTATTAAGAGAAAATTACTGTTCTTCCACAATTTTTAGTAACTTCATTCTTAGCATCTTTCCTCCAGAACTCATTCTTATCTTCATAGAATTAGAGCCCCAGCTTGAACGTGCCTGGGAAGGAACTGGTCAGAGTCAAATTCTACCTGCCTCTTCCACCCAAAAAACTTGTAAAAGTTACTACAAATGATCTCAATTGTGCTTTATTTGGTTTGGCACATAATGCTTTCCTTTAAAAACAAACCAAAAATTTTGACATTCACTCTATATATCTTGGATTACAATACCAGAGATTTTTGTTTTTGACAATGGTATTCTGTAGATTTTTATAACAGCAGTAGTTTAGAAACTAGGTGAAAAAAACACTATAAATAAGAGAATATTTCCTTCTGTCTAAATGCCACATGCAATAATTGAACTTTCAGGCTTCATAGTAATTCTGATTAGCACAGAAGATTGCTACTATCCATATACTTTTTGATGCAAGATACCCACAATAATCCCTGTGAAAGAGACAGATCAACTAACTATTCCTGTTCTTTTCCAGATATGGAAACTGAGGCTGCTGGAGGAAAGTTTTCTTCCAGGTTCCCATTGTTACTTAGTGTTTGAACAGAAACTTGAACCAAAGCATTCTTTCTCAAAGAACAGTGGCCTTTTGTGTAGTTCAAGCTCCCTCCAAAGTACTTTGATAAAAAATAGAAATGACTGACACACCAATCCTTTAATTAAGTCCTTCTTAAAACATTGAGACTTACAAAAGGGTGGTTATATCAACTTATACACTTGCAGTATCTTTGGTTATTTACCGAAGGAGTCTCTGAATTTAACTGAGTATTCCGAAAAAGGAAATAATGGGTAGACATTAGGTATTTAAACAATACTTCTTAGAGTACAAAGAAATATAAAACACTAGAATTTTTAAATCTACCTTTCAAATCTTGAAGAAATTGACGGATTTCTAGAAACTTACAACCACCCAAAACTGAACCAAGAGGATATTAATCACCTGAATAGATCTATAACACAAAAAGAAATTAAAGCAGCAATCAGGAGTCTTCCAAAAGAGAAAGGTCCAGGACCTGAGAGATTCACTGCTGAATTCTATCAGATGTTTAAAGAAGAACTAATACCAACTCTCCGTAAAGTATTCCATGAAAAAGAAAGGGAAGGAACTCTGCCTAACTCATTTTATGAAGCCAATATTACTCTCATACCAAAACCAAAAAAGATCATACACCATGACCAACTCGGCTTCATCCCAGGGATGCAGAGGTGGTTCAACATACCCAAATCTGTACATGTAATACAGCACATCAATAGAAGCAAAGACAAAAACCACTTGATCATCTCCATATATGCAGAAAAGGCCTTCGACAAGATCCAACACCACTTAATGATAAGTGCTCTAAGAAAACTAGGGACAGAAGGAATGTACCTCAACATTGTAAAGACTATATATGACAAACTTACAGCCAACATCATACTTAACAGTGAAAAACTGAAGCCATTCCTCCTAAAATCAGGAATAAGACAAGGGTACCTACTATCCCCACTCCTATTCGACATAGTAGTGAAATTTCTAGCCAGAGCAATTAGGCAAGAAGAAGAAATAAAAGGAATACAAATAGGTATAGAAACTGTCAAAATATCCTTATTTGCAGATGATATGATCCTATACCTTAAAGACCCAAAAAACTCTACCCAAAAACTCTTAGATACCATAAACAGCTACAGTAAGGTAGCAGGATACAAAATTGACTTACAAAAATCATTAGCTTTTCTATACACCAACAATGAACAAACTGAGAAGGAATATATGGAAACAATTCCATTCACAATAGCCTCAAAAAAGATCAAATACCTTGGAGTAAATTTAACAAAAGATGTGAATGAACTCTATAAGGAGAACTACAAACTCCTGAAGAAAGATTGAGGAAGATTACAGAAGGTGGAGTGATCTCCTGTGCTCATGGATTGGTAGAATCAACATAGTAAAAATGGCTATACTACTGAAAGCAATCTGCATGTTTAATGAAATTCCCATCAAAATCCCAATGACTTTCATCACAAAGATTGAAAAATCTACTCTAAAGTTCATTTGGAAACACGAGAGACCATGAATAGCCAAGGCAATACTCAGCAAAAAGAGCAATGCTGGCAGTATCACAATACCAGACTTCAAACTGTATTACAAAGCAATAGCAATAAAAACAGCATGGTACTGGCACAAAAACAGACATGAAGACCAGTGGAACAAAATAGAAGACCCAGATATGAATCCACACAACTATACCCACCTCATTTTTTGACAAAGATGGCAAAAATATACGATGGAGAAAAGACAGCCTCTTCAACAAATGTTGCTGGGAAAAGTGGTTACCTGTCTGCAGGAAACTGAAACTAGATTCATGTCTATGACCTTGCATTAGTATCAACTCAAAATGAATCAAGGACCTAAATACCAGACCTGAAACTCTGAAGTTACTACAGGAAGGATCAGGAAACACTCTGGAACTAATAGGTATAGGCAAAGACTTCCTCAATAGAACCCCAGAAGCCCAGCAACTAAGAGAAAGGATGGACAAATGGGACTTCAAAAAAATTAAAAAGCTTCTGCACAACAAAAGAAATAGTCTCTAAACTGAAAAGATCACCCGCAGAGTGGGAGAAAATATTTGCCAGCTGTCCATCAGACAATGGAATGATAACCAGAATATACAGGGAACCTAAGAAACTAAACTCTACTAAAATCAATGAACCAATTAAGAAATGGGCGACTGAACTAAACAGAACTTTCTCAAAAGGAGAAATTCAAATGGCCAAAAAAAAACACATGAAAAAATGCTCACCATCTCTAGCCATAAAGGAAATGCAAATCAAAAACACATTAAGATTCCACCTCACCCCTGTTAGAATAGACATCGTCAAAAACTCCACCAACAACAGGTGTTGGTGAGGATGTGGGGAAAAAGGAACCCTCATCCACTGCTGGTGGGAATGCAAGCTGGTGCAACCACTCTGAAAAAAAATTTGGAGACTTCTTAAAAATCTAAACATAGACCTGCCGTATGATCCAGCAATCCCACTCCTGGGAATATACCTAAAGGAATGCACCAGAGGTACCTGCA